AAAATATTGAATATTTTTATATGTAGTATAGCATAAGTCAATGTGAATATGTTGAATATAAATAATATTTAGCTTGATTATTTAATTCTAATTATTATTCATATGTATAAATTATGGGTCATTCATTTGTAGTCTCTTAATTTAGTTTCTTAGAGTTGAAGAAACCAAAATTTGGGTGATGGAGAAGTAGAAAAATATAGAAATTATTTACACCTATTACACCATAATACAATGTGATTATAGTGAGTACAAATAACATTGAGCTTAACTATTTACTTTTAATGATAACCCATGTAGATATAAGTTATTTGTCATTCATTTATAGTCTTTTAACTTTGTGGCTTAGTGACGAAGAAACATGAAATTTGGTGATGGAGAAGAAACATATTGTATATATTTACATCTAATTTACCATAATTCAATGTGAAAATGGTAAATATCAATAAATTTTATCCTTGAATTTTGATGATAACAAAGCATAATATGAGAGAATAATTGTGTACTCTAATCATTTTGTAAGTGCATAGATCGAAGTAAACAAATTATGACTCTAAAGAGGTCAACTTTAGACGAACCATACTCTGATTTATAGACGCACTCTGAACCAAAGGAAAAAACAAATGTGTGTTTTAAATAAAAGTTAAGCATCTAGATTACCAAGTTAGAGGTTTTGCAAGAATCTATCCAAAATGACTCTGATGAAGAATATAATCATTCAAGCCTCTGAAGTCTTAGGACTCTGAATTCTATAGATTCTAAAATATCATTTTCACCATATTCTAAAGAGAAGCTCTGAACTTTATTCAAACTTCATCAACTTAAATACGATGCATTTTACTAGAAATTAAATACTGAAAGAAGAATATGTGGCAAGAGTACAAAAGTACAAAATCTTACTTCATTTTCCACAACCCTAAAAATTAGGAAAATGATTGTACTATTGTACCAACGTGGTTCCTTTTTTCCCATCCTTTCACCCGCTTTATGCTACAAGTGCCACTATATTATTGTATAATCAAGCACCTTTGTATGAACGTGATATTTTTTCTTAGCGTGGAACACTTCTTTTTTTCTTTAATATATATATATATATATATATATATATATATATATATATATATATATATATATATATATATATATATATATATATATATATATATATATATATATATATATATATATATATATATATATATATATATATATATATATATATATATATATATATATATATATATATATATATATATATATATATATATATATATATATATATATATATATATATATATATATATATATATATATATATATATTAAAGAAATAAAGAAGTGTTCCACGCTAAGAAAAAATATCACGTTCATACACTTAGAATAATTTCTTGAATATATCTCTTAAGTGTAATCTATGTTTTAATTTGTGCACCTCCTTATTTTAGAAGTAACTTTGTAAAGATGATCTTGGTTAAATACCTTCAGAGACTAGGTTATAGTCAGGATTCTCAATAAGCCTTTGAAAAGTTTCATTGAGCTTGTAATCAAGTATGTGATTAGTGGATTAAGTCCCTGTTGATAAGGAAGAATCACTCTGGCGGATGGATTGGGAATAGCTTAGTTAACAGCGAACTAAGATAAAAATGTATGTGCCTTTTATCTTTGTTGAATCTTTTTTCCTTGGGTTCTTGGGTAGAGAAAAAGTTTTAATCTAGAAACTCAATTTAACCCCCTCCATTTTCTTGTGTTTATTGAACCTTCTCTTGGAGTTCTCAAACTCCATGCCATGGTCACTTCTTATATTCACAATTTCACTCCCTTTCTTCTTCTAAATAAGAAGGCATAGATCTTTGAACATGTCAAAAATATTGTACTTTTCTCTAATGAAGTTAATCCTTGTATATTTTGAAAAATCATTCACACAAACAAAAACATATATTTTTCCACCAATATTTTCTACTTGCATAGGTCCCATGAGATCCATACGAAGTAACTCAAGAACCTATGAGGTGGCCAGATGTTAGAGCTTCTTGTGGGACATCTTGGTCTGCTTACGTATTTGGAAATCTCCATAGATTTTTCCTTCTTCAATCTTTAAGTTTGGCAAACCTTTGATGGCTTCAGCAGATATGCCCTTCGTCAAGCCAATGAGATTGAGATGACCAAATCTTTGGTGCCACAACTTTGTCTCATCAACTTTGGATAACATACCAGATGAGGGATGAGAAATCCATATATAATAGTTATCTTTGGACATTAACCCCTTCATGAGAACTTCTTGACCTTTGGTGGTGATAATACAATCAGATTTGTTAAAGTTTACATTCAATCCTTGATCACACAATTGACATATGATGATCAAGTTAGCAGTAAAGCCTCCTACCATTAACACATCATTAATACAAGGAAGACCAGGGCTAACCATCTTGTTTATTCCCTTTATTCTTCACTTTGCCCATCACCTAAAGTGACATAACTTTTGGAGTAGGATTTCAACTCCTCAAGATATGTCTTTTCTCCAATCATGTATCTGGAGCACCCACTAGCAAAATATCAATCTTCTCTTGAGAAAATTCTAAGATCTATGAGTTATGAGACTATTTACAGCTGCTTTGGGTTTCCATTCCTTTGCTTGAGATTTCTTCCCTTTCTTCCTTTTAGGCCTCAGCTAATTATAAAACTAAGGATAACCATATAGCCTATAGCAAAAGGGTTTTATATGACCATACATACCGCAGTGGTGACATCTCTTTGTAAATTTCTTGTAACCTCTGTGTTGAAGGTACACAAGTCGAGCATGATGTTGAGACATGAGGTCCATCATCTGAAACTCGGTTTTCTTCTTAGGTATGACAACCTTCTTAGAGGGGAATTTTTTCTTTCTTGCTCATGCTCTTCATTGGTCATGCTTCAGCACTAGACGCACATTTAGATTCAAATTTTCTAGTGAAAGTCATTACATTGTTGCCATTTTCACTTTCAGAACAGACTCAGACCATGTAAGTGATAATCCATTTTTCAGCTTCTTGAGAAAAATATAGAATTCAGCTATGATATGTCCAAAGTCATCACATTCAAAACATCTAACTCAATTGTCTTTGTTTTCTTCTATGCTCTTACTCTGGGGACCAATGTCGAACCTGATGTATTGAACATTTGTCTTCCATTTTCTAGCTTCTTCATAGCTTTGTTGAACTTCCTTCTAACATAAGGTATAGCATCTAACGGGTTTTCTTCAGTATCCTTATCACCTTGATCTTCATTCTCTTGAGCGTTGGATACAAATGTTACATATTTGTTCTTCTTTTCAGATCTTTCATTTATAATTACGTCAAAGGTCATTTATAATTACGTCAAAGGTTTGAAGAGAGCCAGTGAGTTCATCTACTTTCAAGATGCTTAAATTTTGAGTTTCTTCAATAGTTGTTACCTTCATGTCAAATTTCTTAGGCGATGATCTGAGAATCTTTCTAATTAGTTTTTCTTCTTGATATCTTTTCTCCCAGTGCAGAAAAATTGTTGCCTATTCATCTTCCAGCATTCTCAGATTCTCAAACTTGCTTCTGAGGAGCTGCATCCTTGACATCCTAACTTTGGATGTGCGTTCATGAGTAGTCTTGAGAATCTCCCAAACTTCTTTAGCTATAGTACAAGTGTTGATTAGTTTGAACATATTCTTATCAACACCATTAAATATATCATTTAAGGTTTTATTGTTTTCAAGAGCTTCATCTTCTTCTTCTTTGGACCAATCGACTTTAAGCTTTAAACTTGTCGAACCACTTTCATAAGTGATCACAAGATGTTTTCAACCTTTAGCCACAACCTTCTAAGTTTTCATGTCAATGAATTTGAGAAAAACAACCATCTTTACTCTTCGATAGTTATAATGTGTCATCCAAAACAGATGGCCTATTGACATAGAACCATCTTTACTTTCCAATAGACATGTTGTTTTTACCTTCATTTTTACTACTAATTCTTCTGTTTTTAGTTAGCTAATTAGGCAATTCAAATTCTATATAAATTTTAAAAAAAAAAAAAAGAGAAGTGGAAAATGATCTAAACCTACTTAAGCCCAACCTCAAATCAAAATCAAAAGGACAGCAAAAAAAATTCACCAAGGTTGAATGTCGACCTCTGTATGTATTATAATCTTACGTTGTTTTTTAACGTTGTATCAATATGCCTGTGTTTTTGTTTTCTATACCTATTCCTGCTTATTTTTCTAGTATAATCTTGCTTTTTGATAAACCCAGATAGGAGAAGTACACTCCTATTAAATTGATTATGTGAATAATCCGATCATGATGACTTATTTTTCTATGATTATCAGCCTGATTTTTGATAAATCTAAATAGAAGAAAAGTACACTCCTATTTAAATTGATTAGGTGAATAATTCGACCTAAATTGCTCCATGAAAAATTGATTCTATACGTAATTGAAATAATAAATAATACTTAAGTCACCTTGCAACATGTTTAGACACCTTTTGATTTTTCAAATTGACTCTTTCCTAAAGAATTTTTCCAAACTTCTTTGAAATGACAAGATATCATCCTTTAAAATTTTACTAAAAGCCAAAATATTTTGATTAAAAATCTAAAAACTTAATGTAGAGGGACCCTTAGAAAATGGTCAGAATAAAGAGTTCCTAAAATTATAAAATCTCTCTAAATAATGTGTTTTTAATCTTGCATGTTTTTTGAACAAAAAAATTTATAACTAAAATCATCACTAACCATAAGTGAAAGGATAGAAAAAAGAAACACAATAATATATTATAATGTCCAGTTTGATGATACAAGAGCACAAATCTCCAAGTAAACAATAATGAAACATGTAACAAGAATGGTGATAATGTTACAAAAGGTTGCTAGTATCTATTGTTACATAGGAAAAAGAGGAATGAAGCACATGCATGTTATGAATCAACACATAAATAAATAAAAAACAACCTTGTATTGTACAACACAGTACACCTGCCGGTCCAAGTCGGGTCTCATTTCCAGAGCTTGACAAACTTGTCATGACTAGCTGAAGCAACCAAACCATTTACGGTGGAAACGGCCAGAGCAGCAATAAGACCGTCGTGAGCAGACAGAGTCATCGTCTTGTTCTCTGTCATGTTCCATAGCTCCAACGACTGCAGATTATTGTACAAGAGTTGTTATGGATCGATCAGATTCTATTTTAATTCATGCAGGAAATGGGACAGGAAAAACGATACGATAATCAGATGTAGACTTGCCTGGTAACAGCCAATGACCAGCAGCGATGAATATGTTGGATGGAAAACGCATGAGTGAAACTTATTGCCGTTACAGCTAAGCTCGTGAACACATTCCCCTTCGCTTCCAGTTCCGAGAGTCCAAACCCTGACAGAGTCCTCACTGACAGATGCCAAGAATTCCCCAGACGGATCCCAACATACAGAATGTATAGACTTTGTGTGACCCTGCAATATACTCCAATCAGTAAAACCAGTACACTCTTGGAAAGAGTATGAAAAACAGACGTAAAATGTATTTTTTAACCGACCTTTAGTGAATATCGGCATGCTTGTGTCTCGACATCGAGTATAGAGACAACGTTCTCTGCAGCTGCGGCGAGGTATCTCCCTAGCCGAGGTTGAAATCTCATCTGTGCAGTGCCACCCTAATTGGTAAATATGAAAATTTATCAGTTTTGGCGAATTACTAAAACAGAAAATTGTGAATAAAGTAAAACAGCGCTAAACTACCTACCTTTGACACTCTAGCACAACTGCCATTGTTAATACTCCAATATCTTATCTCACCATCGTAGTCACAAGAGCAGATAAGGTCCTCTTTATTAGGGTGAAAGTCTAGTGACATAACAGATGCAGAATGACCGGTGAAGGTACGAAGCGAATACCCGGGCTGCATTGGTAAATACATATAAGCTAAGGTCAAATAACAAACAAGAAAAACACAATCCATCAAATAATTTCTCAAGAGTATCGAGATTAGCACAAACAAAATGAAGTTACATTGTCAACATCCCAAACGCGGACAGTTTTGTCATATGAAGATGTTGCAAGACGAGGCAGGGTTGGACTGAAACGGACATCAGTAATTAAAGATGAATGCTCTTCAAGAGTAGCTTTCTGCTTTAGAGAATCTGTGTACCATAAAACAGCCTGCAGAGGAAATGTCACATTCTACATATAAACGGAATAAATGATAGAAAGGTTTGGGATTTTGTTCTTCAATTTTCAAGCAGGTCAATTACATGTGTTAACGCGTAGTATTTAGAAATCAATTGAGCAGATAAAGCGCTAACTAAGACATGTTTTCCCAGTGTGAGCGATGACTTGACTAACCTTTTTGTCATGGCCGCCACTTGCAAGCAATTTTCCGTCAGATGAGAAATGAGTACAAACAACTTTGCTTGTGCTTGCACGGACAGAACTTACTTCAGAAAATGTGAAACCTGAAAATAGCCACATACCCTCAGTTTCAAAATGAATTATGAATCTCGTATTTATGAAAGTCAATAAATTTAAAAGCAACATTACAGCTTCATATACAAAACATTATAGCCCTTCCTTACTAATATTACTAAGAACTTTGCACGTGCAATCTATGCTACAGAAGCTAATTCAGAATAGTAATGGCAAAAAAAACATTATGATAGATAAAATGTTGGTGTTTACTGCACCTTTGCTTACATCCATACGTCCAACTGGATCTCTAGGATCATTATCATCATGAGATAAAAAAGACTCAACATTATCATCAAGAGACGCATCCTCAACAAAGCGGTCCACATCTGCCTGCAATTCAATATCCTTATCATCCCACTGCCAAAATGGAATGGCAATGAGTCTACATGCAAGGAACTTATTATTCCTTCCATTAATTCAAATCAAATAGAAGAGACACTCACCAATTGGTTGGAAGGAGAGGTAAGAGTTCCGGTGCCATCAGTGCCAAACATCATTAATGGCTTAGAAGAACTACCGTTATGAGGTAAAGAAGGCATTGATATCACATCACCAGGGGTATGAGTTGAGCCTGAGGGAGTTGAGGGTGCTGAACTCGGAGATGGACCTGCTGTGTTAGCTGTTCCAGAGCTATTGGCAGGACCGGAAGAAGAAACAGGTTGCTTTCTCTTTCTTCCAGTCTGGTTTTTGGAAACCTTGAATATTCAGAACAAAATGTTAGAAACCCATTTCAGACTCAATTATTTTACAAGTCAGAAAATATTTATAGGTTCGGAGACCTAGAAATCATGCATGGCTCAATTGTTCAAATATGCATAGGAAAGGCCACCATAAAAAGGACTGACCTGATCATTTCCTCTAAAGGAATTTGACATGCTACCATCTCCGGTGACACTGCCACCCCCTCCCCCTACTTTATCTTGCTGATGCATGTTATGATTTGAAGACTGAGATTGCTGATTTGAAAGAGAATGCTGTTGAAGTTGCTGCTGCTGTGGATTGGCATTCTGCTGCTGTTGGTGTTGTAACTGAGCCAGTTTCATCTACAGAAACAAACAAAAATTAACTTCCAAAACATTTTGCAATTAAAGATTTTATAAAAGCGCAGTTTTTGCAAGATCCGTAATGAAGATGAAAAGATAAATTGCATGAACAAGCACCTTCATTAGCATATCCGTATCAGCACGAGGAAAAGGAGGACCACCTGCTTGAAGGGGTGATCCGACATTCGATACTACATCACCAACAGGATTTGAAAGGCCATCCTTACCTACGCCCACATTTCTATTGTTCAGTAGCATTCTGAGTCTTCTACTTTCATCACCAGCGGATGGTGATGCCAGGTTTTGCTGTGCTAACATAAGCTGTTGCTGATGTTGTGGTGTCAACATTGGAAGTTGATGAAAAGGCTGTGGATTCTGTATGAAAGGTTTTTGTTGCTGAAGTAAACCAGAACGAAGTTGCTCCAACCCCTATAATTCGAAAAGGACATCATTAAATAGTGAAACTGAATAACTCAATTGTGTAGTTTCATCATTAAATAAGGTTTAGCTTTATATATTTAGAAAACGTGAAGTTAACCAACGGTAAAATTTAGCTTAAATAAATATTAAAATAAAAGGATTTCTTACTGTGAGTGGCCACCCTTTCAGAGTCAAATTGTTGCCACCTTGATTTGATCCTGACACAAACAAAAATCTCCTTTAACTCAATCTGTAAGTACGGATAATCCCAACAATGTAACGCTTTCACATTATATCTCAAAATATCTTCACCTAGTGAATAAATTTGAAAGAACCGACTACAAGGAAAAAATCCTATAATGTACATGCTTGCAAACCAGTTTTTAAAGTAATAGCACAAACTAGATAGATTAGAATATGAATTTAATGAAAGAATACCAGGAATTGCCATCAACGATTCAGGACCCCCAGCTCTAGGGTTCAAAACAGGATTAATCTCAGTTTTTATATCCTGATTCAAAGTGGCGAGTCAGGAAAAACAGCTGATAAGAAATATATTAAAAGGTAATTAATGAGAACACTTTTTAAGATAGCATACCGGAGTAGACCCTGGTAGTTGCTGATTACGAGCTTGAATTTGTGGAGACATTGAACCAGCAGCACCATGCAAAACTTGCCTGAATACAAGAAAACGAAATTTGGTTCTAATACGGTCAACATCCATAGCTAAAAAGAAATGGAGGCTAAGTTCTAAAGAAAATCACCCTGACGGTTGACCAGTAGCTGCAGATGACTTCAAAATCGAGGCATGATTTGGGTCCAAGATTTGGTCTCCAAATCTTTGCTGTACGAAATAACATAAGATAGCGATGAATATTTACATCATAAGAACAATAGTTCGTTTTATAATAATCACGTAAAACCGGAATATCCATGTACCTTCATTGCAGCATCTTCCAAAGAATCTCTTTGAAGGGGAAGTTTTAACCTTTCCTCATACATCTTTGTCGCAATTGCATTTGCAGTGCTAGGGTTTCCAACTAATCCATTTGCACCACCACCACCGTTCAAGAGATGAGCCCTATCCCTACCTTGCTGTTGCTGCTGCTGCTGTTGCTGCTGCTGATGCTGTGGTTGCTGCTGTTGTTGCTGCTGATGCTGTTGTTGCTGTTGCTGCTGTTGTTGTTGCTGCTGATGCTGCCTCTGTAACAGCATCTGTTGCATCTGCATCTGCTGCTGTTGTTGATTCTGCTGTTGTTGATGTTGTGACTGCTGAGGTTGTGGCTGATTCTGTTGTTGTTGCTGTTGCTGCTCCCTAGCCTTAATTAACTGTGTCTGCAAAGGAAGTTTGACAAACCGAAAACTTCAAGAGCAGCACGCATACTGATATAAAACAAACTATATCTGACTAATATGGTTACCGAAACTGAAACTTCTAATCTTTTTTATTATCCTATATTTGAAAAAGTGAACATGTGTTTCTATAGCAGTTTTACATGACGACGTAAAATTAGTTTTCTCCATGATAGTTATGATTTCGTCATTAAAAATGACGAGATCAAAAGCGAGAAACAGTTAACCAAATCAATCATTAGTCAAGATGCGAAATAAGGAAGTTTCAACATGTCAAATATACAAACTTCCTTATGTAATAAACAAATAGATACGCGTAAAAGGTAACCAGGTAACCGACTTCCTTATTTAGTACCGTGTTTTAATTGCCAAACTTGTAGCACAATCACCTGACTCGGAATCAACACACTAAAAGTACAAAATACGGAAAAGAAAAACAACACAGATTTTCCAACCAACATCGATATAGCATAATCACGTGACTCGGAATCAACACGCTAGAAGTACTAGATACAGGAAAAAAAAAACAGCACAGATTTTCCAACCAACCTCGAAATAGTATAATTACATGACTCGAAATCAACACGCTAGAAGTACTAAATACGAAGAAAAAAAAAGCAGCACAGATTTTTCAACCAACCTTGATATAGCATAATCACGTGACTCGAAATCAAACACTAGAAGTACAAAATACGGAAGAAAAAAAACAACACGGGTTTTCCAACCAATCTCAATATAGCATAATCATGTGACTCAGAATCAACACAGATTTTCTAATCTTTTCTTTATCCTAGATTTGAAAAAGTGAAGTTGTGTTTCCGTAGCAGTTATATGACAACTTAAAAATAGTTTTCTCCGTGCTATTTATGATTTCGTCAGTAAAAATTACGAGATCAGAATCCATTAAGTAATTGTAGTCACAAGTAGGCAATTATACTGCCAGCGCATTGGCGAGAGAAGAAATTATAGAATTAACTTCTTTCTAAAATTATGTCTAATAAAAAATTATTCTTCAGAGACAATCCCAATTTCCCTTAAAAGCTAAACGACAAATCAAAAGCGAGAAATAGCTAACCAAATCAATCGTTAGTTAAGATGCACAATAAGGAAGTTTCAACACGTCAAATATACAAACTTCCTTTATTTAATACGCGAATAGATACGCATAAAAGGTAACCGACTTCCTTATTGAATACCGTGTTTTATTTGCCAAACTCGTAGCACTATCACCTGACTCGGAATCAACACACTAGAAGTACAAAATACGGAAGATAAAAACACAGCTTTACCAACCAACCTCGATATAATCACGTGACTCAACGCTAGAAGTACAAAATACCTATGTTGTTAAACTCGGATAACAGCACGGCGCGGCCATCCCAAAAATGGAACGGAACGGAAACGCGGAACGGAATGGGTGTTATTTTAGTGACGCAGACACTAATATATTTAATACTAGCACACATATTTGTAAAAATCTAAAATAAATTACACAAGGATAAAGATTAATATAAATTTTGTAAATATAATATCAAGTTTTAAAAATAAAACAGTGAATACAAAAGACATAACAATGATAAAATTTAAAAATAAATAAAAAATAATAATAAAAACAGTGAATGAAAAAAAAATTATTAAAAAAAAAAAACTCAACGAAAAATAAATAAATAAGAAGAAAAGAGGGAGAGCGGTTGTTGATGGAATTTTAGCTGAGAAGACAAATGGAATTAAGAGGGAGAAGAGGAGCAGAGAGAGAGTGTGATAGGTGTGAAGCAAAGACAGAGGTATATGTTGTAGATTCTAAAGCAGCAGAGAATTGTATTAGGGCTTTTATATTAAAGGAAAAACCAGACACGAAAATCTCGGCCGTTCCATGCCGCGTCACCACCGTTCCGCGCCGTTTCCGTTACCAAGAACTCGGTCATTCCGGCCGCATCACCCGATGTGTCGTTCCGGCACGGTCTGATGCGTTTTTGCCAACTGTGCCGCTCCAACCAACCTCGATATATAGCATAATCACGTGACTCGTAATCAACATGCTAGAAGTACAAAACACGGGAAAAAAAACAGCACCGATTTTCCAACCAACCTCGATATATAGCATAATCACGTGACTTAGAATCAACACGCTAGAAGTACAAAATAAGGAGAGAAAAAAAACACAGATTTTCCAACCAACCTCGATATAAGACGCAGCAACTTCCGAATGCTTCTCATTCACTCTAGCAATAAATATGCCCAGAAAACCAACCATCACTCGAACAAAAATCCTTCCGGGGCATCAATAGCTGAAATTTCTAATCTTTTTTATTATCCTATATTTGAAAAAGTGAAGTTGTGTTTCCATAGCTGTTTTACATGATAACGTAAAACTAGTTTTCTCTGTATTATTTATGATTTTGTCAGTAAAATTACGAGATCAAAATCCATCAAGTAATTGTAGTGCAAACAAGTAGACAAATATCCACTCAGTGCAAAATGCAAACAAAATTATTTTTTGAAATCTTACTGCCAGCGCATTAGCGAGAAGAAATTAAAGAATGAATTTCCTTCTAAAATCATGTCTAATAAAAAATTATTTCTCATAAAGAATCCGGATTTCCCCTAACAGCTAAACGACAAATCGAAAGCGAGAAACAGCTAACCAAATCAATCATTAGTTAAGATACGCAATAAGAAAGTTTCAACGCGTCAAATGTACAAACTTCCTTATTTAATACACTAATAGATACGCATTAAAGGTAACCAACTTCCTTATCTAATCCCGCATTTTATTTGCCAAACTTGTAGCACAATCACCTGACTCAGAATCAAATCAACACACTATAAGTGCAAAATACGGAAAAGAAAAACACGGATTTTCCAACCAATCTCGATATGGCATAATCACATAACTCGAACCAACACGCTAGAAGTACTAAATACAGAAGTAGAAAAAACAGCACAAATTTTCCAACCAACCTTAATATAACATAAACACCTCACTCGGAATCAACACGCTAGAAGTAAAAAATACAGAAAGAAAAAACCAAGATTTTCCAACCAACCTCGATATAAGACGCGGCAACTTCCGAATGCTTCTCATTCGTTCTAGCAATAAATATGTCCCAGAAAACCGACCACCACTCGAACAAAAAACCTCCCGGAGCATCAATAGCTGAAATCCCATTTCGCCATTACAAAAAAACATCCAGATTAATAAAACAAACAAAACAGAAACACAAAAACAAAACTTCTTTGCTTCTAGCTAACTCACCAACAGGATCAGATGACACTTTCCCTTCAGCTTGAAAAGCCTGAGCTGAAACTTTCAAATCCCTCTTCACAAGATAATCATGGATGTAAACATCCAACCTAAAATCTCATAAAGCAACCAAACAAAAGTAGCATAATCAACTTCAACTTCAAGAACCAAAGCTTAGATCTTTACATTCTTTACATCAAGTATATCACTATGACCATCAATATCAACAACCCAAATGCAGGAAACAAAGAGTTCAACAACCAAAAGTGATAATTTCATCAATGTAAAGAAACCCTATTTAACTTGCAGAAGCTAAAAACAAAAAATAAAAACCCTAATATACCCATTAGAATATTCTCACACATTCACACAAAAAAACAACATACAGAACCATATCAGAGAATATAAACCAACCCCAAATCACAAAAACATAAAAAATCAGAACCCAAATCAACAAAAAAACAAAATTGAACGTAATCAAAAAAAAAAAAACCCATTTTTTAAAACTGAAAACATCATAGAAAGAAAAACAAAAACAAAAATACAGCAACACTCACATCTTATCAGCTTCCCAGTTAGTCTGAGACATACTGACAGAAAGAAAATTGACGGGTAATGAAAATCCAACGAGCAACGAGGTTGATGAGTCTTCAAAAGTATAATGAAACTGAAAAGTGAAAGCTGTTAAAGATACCAGATTTTGCGGTAGAAGAGAAGCAGAAAAACATGAGGGAGAAGAGAAAAAGGGAAGTGTAGAAAGCGAAACGAGAGAATAAGAAGAAGAGAAAGCGGAAAAAACAGGATTTTGAGGAAGAAAAAATCGAAAGGAATGAAACAGAAACGAGTATTCTAAGACTTGAGACACGGTAAGAAAAACATTGGAAAAATGTTTTTATATGATTGAATAAATGACACGTGAAAATATTTTCTAATATTTAGATTCTCATAAGTTACAACAACAACACTCACTAACACAACTCTTGCACTTTAACTACTCAAGTCTCTTTAGATAAATGGTGAATTTTTTTTCATTTTTTTTATTTTTTTATTTTTAGAATTAAATTATTTATTTAAAATTATATTTTTTAAATTTTTATTCAAAAATACGGATATTAATATTAATTTATTGAACGATCGAATAGCAACTTACGATAAATAATTAATAATTATCTAAATTTTTAATAACAGTAGAGAATGAGTATTGTTGTTTTTGAGTTTTTAAAATTATAAATTTTAATATTTTTAATATTTGTATAATTATTTAATGCACTTAATAAGGAGATTATTTTGACATTTTAATTAATTTTTTTTCTTTTTCTTGTTTTTGAAAAAAAAAAGTTTGATTGTGTGATATTTTTTAATAGGATAGTTGAAATTCATTTAACATAGTCAATATTTTTTTATATGAGGTAGAAATAAATAAATTAGATCCAAAAAATAATAATTAAGTGTGACAGATCGTTGAATCAAATTTTTCAGTTATTTTAAAAATCAAATTTTTAGTTATCAAAAAAATGATAGAAGTGAAAGAAAAAAATATTGATCTAACAAATTAACATAATATATTGCTATTATTCTTAACATATAAGAAAATAGAAGGTAAGAGTTTGTTATTTTTCTTTTTTAGTTTGATTAGATAGAAAGGCTAAAGAGGAATGAATGAGCGATCAATATTATTTAAAAGTAATAATAGGTTTAAAGTAAAAAATATAATATGTCCATATGATGTAAATTTCTTTTTATATTAGAATTAACTTAATTAGTTTAATATTTTATTTTAATAAAACATTTTAACCGTTTTTTATTTTAATTTAATTAATAAATCAATTAGATTAATATTCTTTTATTAAGGATGTATTATTTGATTTTATCTTTAGATGACTTGTGTTTGACTCAAATTTATATAACTCTAGATATGCTCTTTAGAAGCAACACAACATAAGTGCATCTTTATAACTCTAATTATAATTAGCTTAAGGCAATTTTAATCATTTTTGCAATAATTTTTCTTAGCTTTTAAATTCCACCAAAAACAATTGAATCAAAACCTTGTACTTCAAGTTATTACAACCAAAATAGGTGATAGTAGTGGCTATCACAAGTGTTCATTGATTAGGTTTGTTACCTAATTGTTAAATGATATTAAATTATAATTTTGATCGGTTATTGAGTTTTAAATCAATCTCAATGAAATATATTAGTTAGTTTTTGATTTTTATGCTATGTTAAACATTTTGTTTTGGATGTTACAAGTTAATTGATAATGTAAATTAACTTATAAATATTTATAGATTACTTAAATGAATGTCATAGATGACAATTGATAATATAAATTAACTTATAAATATTTATAGATTACTTAAATGAATGTGATGTGATTATATAAATGAATGAGATGTGATTACACGAGTATTGTTTGGAATGTAATTCTCATCTTACAATCAATTATTTTAGTTATTCGGTGAAAAAAAATTTGTTGGATAATGTAATGTCATGATTTAAGAATTTATCGCCTTTGAATTTTATTTGTATTTGGCATTAACCATATGATTTAGAGTTCAAAATAGTTTTATAATTAAGAAAGTAGTTTTTTTTCTTAAATATGATACTCTGTAAAATGAAGTTGAGAAATTAATTTTATTATTTAATAATAAAATTTTATCTTTAGCCAGTTTTTTCACTATTTTTGAAGGATTGTGATTTTAAAGTGAATTTTCATCTTTTAAAGGAGAATTTTGTAGTATATGCTTTGAGCATAAAACATTTATTGTATTTGTTTCATTAGAGAACTTTGATTATCGGTGAATTAATAAAATGAATTTTTTATGTGGTGGTGCAAATCTTCGATGTGGTAGTGCGCGAGTGGACCTACAAGATTAATACTTCGATGCTCAAGTCATCGAGTGATCAAAAAATGGTAGAGAGAATTATGGTCAAATCATGCATTCGTATGTAATTTGGCTTATGTAGTATTGAGCAGGTGGTTAACCCATAAGAATTTCCCTCCAAGGTTTGTCGTGGCGTAGCATACGGGAAGTGTTTCACAAACTAGGTCAAATCCTCTATGTTGGGACCTTTTATGTGGAAAAGTGGGAGAGATCTGAAGAACATGTGCATTAAATGTTAGTCTCGTCATTGAGACATTTCGTAGGATTTCTTCATATGTGACCCTAGGTTCGTAGACTTAAGCACGGTGTTTCTCCTAGGATACTTGAGTGTACTCAAGTTTATTTTCATTTTCGAGGCGAAATATGATTTTTTGCTTTTTTATCTTCCCACTTCCTTTCATTATGGGTCAATGATTTATTTGTCTTGTTTTACTATATAAGGATTACTTCGATCTTTTAAACTTTTTTCGCTCTTTCTTGCAAACTAAAATTTACCTTTCTCTATATAAGTTATTATCTTCTTTGTTGAGCTTCAGTGACTTTTGATTCCATCATATTCTCTTTCTGTCTGAGTTATGCATTCTTTGATTCACTATTATCTTTGCATTTCAGTTATTTTTAATTGTTTCCTCACTTCATTTCTTTTACGTGTACCATTTAACATTTTCCTTCTTATATTTTTTTGTTTTTTATTCCTTTTTTTCTTATAATGGCCAACATAGATAATATACATGCAAACATGATAAGCAACCATGATGGTGGTGATTCTTCATTATCCACTGGGATTGAAAACCCGAATATTTCAAATGTTAATCTTTTAGAGTTTAATTGTCCCAACCCTAATCTTATTGTGCTTAGCGATAATTCAAGGTTTTGTGTATGTTATGTCAAAGATGGTGACAAACCCTCTAGTGGCTCTCCTTACGAGAGTATCAGTGAGTCTTTTCAAAAAGACAAGTGGGTATATTACGGTCACTCCTGTAACAAAGGTTGAAGTTGTCAGATCTTCTTTTTCTATCCATCATCTTTCACATTCAGATATAGTTTCTCGAGATTAATGGAGGAAATGTTATTTCATGAGATTCTTTAGGGTGACGATTGGTTGGGACCCTACTGACATAAATATCAAGGAACATATTAGCTTTTGAAACCATTATACAGTTTTTGACCAGCATTATCTTTTTCATGACAGTCGGGCAGACATGGTTCGTCAGCCAATAATACTTAGCTCTAAGAACCTTCTTGGCTAAAGCTCAAGCACTCACATATTGTTTGATTATTCCTTCGTGCACTTCGGTGAGAGTGTAGGTGACTTATTCTTCTTTTTCCAAGCATTTTAGCATAGGGTCAACAATTCCATTTGATACAAAGTTCATTATAATATAGAGTACAAAATGGCTCTTCTTTTTATGAGGGAAACCTCGGTCGGATTGGCGAGTAACATTCCTTGCTAGTTGTATACTACAATTGGTGATATCTAAAATGGTTGTGTGGTGTCATCAATTTTCATCATCGTAACATTTAGAGCTTCGATATTGAGACTTTTTAGAGTTTCTTGGATGAAATAATGGTTTACCGTGAATGCCCTAGTGTTGATAAGTTTGGATAGGATTTCAGCTTTAGTGTTTTGCTCTATTAGAATATGAAAGATCTCTAATGTATTGAACTTCGATAGTTTTTCTCTAGCTAAAGCAACATATCACTATAGCAACGACTCTTTGGTATGGGATTCTACTTTGACTTATGAGACCATGAGATAGGAGTTTGTTATCAATCTAACGCTCTCTGTTGCCATCTTGATGACCAATATGAGGTCGAAAATAACAGTTATGCGCTTGGTTTTATTATTGGTGGGAGAAATCTCAAAATATAGAGATACTTTGATTATCAGGCTGACTTAGTTCTCCAATATTATTTTGGCTTCACTTCCTCAGCTATGGTATGACCCTTCTGTAAACACTACCCATGTATGAGTTAGTTCTAGTGTGCCCGGGTTCAACTCTACTATGAATTCTGCAAACAATTGTGTTTTCCTTGATTCAAAGGAAACATCAAATTCAAATGTACCACTTTGTTAGACCCCTACTAGATTTGGAAGATTGAGCATTTGTTTTGATAATAAGTCGATTCAAACAATTATGGTGTGTGCTAGCAAGTAAGATTGTAACTTCTTAGATGTTGATGCCAACACCACCTTCTTTATCTTTGGATAACGTGTCTCTAGCTTGTCCAAGACTTTGGAGATAAAGTAGGCAGAAATCTATGAAAGGAAATCACAATATAAAATGTAGCGAAAAAAAATATTCTTAAGTCGATTCTTACGAATGTTGCATGATCAATGATATAAATGGTTACCTCTTGTGGCAATTAATACCTTTGATGCAGAATAGTAAGAACAATCATAAGCATTGAATGAAGAGCAATGCCTATACTCAATCCACACGAACAAAGTTCCTTCAATCTTAGTGCCATCTTCTACAAATGAAGAAATAGAGAGAGAGAGAGAGAGAGAGAGAGAGAGAGAGAGAGAGAGAGAGAGAGAGAGAGAGAGAGAGAGAGAGAGAGAGAGAGAGAGAGAGAGAGAGAGAGAGAGAGAGAGAGAGAGAGAGAGGAGAGAGAGAGAGAGAGGGAGGGAGAGAGAGAGAGAAAGACTATGACTAAGGTTCAAAACCAAATTTTATCAAAGTGTGTAAGCTTCTGC